ATTTCTACTCTTATCTCCCTTCTCTCTGCATTTTTATGTAAACACCTTGGGATCAGAACTGTCCATAGCTGATCTTGGCACAACGCTCCCAGTAATTACTTGAAGAAAGCACTCAATAAATATTTGTTGACCTGAAATTTGTTTATTTCCTTTATCTCCAGTTTCCAGGGTGTGCAATGTGCTCACCTGAAATTTTTAGTTTGGAACATTTCTTTTAAAATAGACACAGCCCTTTTAAACAGTACCAATTTAGACCCTCATCACTCATGAATAATTACATTGCTTTAAGAGTGGAAATTAGGCACTGGAGTTCACTTTAACCAGCAAGTTCTTTCCCACTCAAATGCAAGATGGCAGTCGACTCCTTGGGGTATAGCCCCCGACTCTACCCATTAGTAATCATCCATTCTCTGTGAGCAGGAAGATTCTACAGAGGTTCACAAACCCCACCATTTCTGAATTAAAAGTCTCTTTACCATTCTAAAATATAGCATATTTACTTAAAACTGTTTGATTAACTTTGTAAAAACTTTAAGTCCCAAACCATAATGCTTAATATATGCTTTATCATTTAAATGAATGATTAAAATAGAAACCCAAGCTTTTCTTGATAAGAAATAAGAGCTGAGTGGAAGCTGGAAATCTGAATATTTTGCTTTTGCATCTCAGCAGTCCTTGACTGTGGTCTAGCTCTGGTTCCCAAGCTCCCAGACTGACTATCCAGAGTGAAATTCCAGTGTGCTTTTTGTTGGTGTTTCAGTCTCCCCATCTCTCTGCATTTCCTTATCTGTAGAATGGGAATCATCACAGCTTATCCACCCCCGTAATATTGCTATAACAGATCCATCAGTGTGTATCAAAAGCTCACCACAGAGTTTAGCCTGTGGCCAGCACCAGCAACTGAGCCATGAGTGAGGCTCTGACCAGGACCACTTGGATTCTGGAGACTATTTTGGTTTTTCTTCTTTTCACTTACATATTTATGAATTTTTTAAAATAAAAAATTGATCAGAATATATTTATGATACAAAATGAATATATTCATTGTGGGGTATCTCTGCACACACACATCACATCTTGATCCTTTTTGGTTCTTCTAACACTAAAAAGAGCTAAAAGCTCTGCTGATTGTAGGGGTGGGAGAGGGTTAAATTAGCCTTTTGGGGCTTGGAAATCTTTCTGGGCTGACGTTATAGGTTTGTGGGATGGAATTCCCTCCCCTTGGGTCTCTGAGTTCCCCCTAGTGGCAGGGTAGCTCCAGATGGTGCCTCCCCAGTGGTGAAGCTGGCTTCTGAGAAGCACACAAGAGCTGAGCCAGGCTGCAGGGATATTAGGAACAAGGGACTCATGAGGAAGACGACCACTGAGGAGGAAAGGGATGGAATCACCAAATGGCTGGCTTTTAGTAGGAGTGGGGAAGTGCTGTCTATGAGTTGGGAGTCTGAGCTTGTAAAGATTTACTCAGAGACTTAAATGCGCACGGGGCAGATGCCAGGATGATGCCCCAGAAGTGCAGTGGATTGCTGGGAGCTGTCAGAGCTCTTTTAAGGGGCCTCTGCCACCCACTGACATTCGGTGGGCTCCAGTTTCAGACCTGCATGGCATCTTGCATTGTGTTTCCCACATGTGGGCTCATCCATCACAGCTCTTAGGCGGGCAGATATGTACTTGAAGCCACAGACCCTGACAGGGATTCTGGCATCTGGTATAGTCAGGGGCTGCCTCTGGCTGTGGGCGCAGCCTTTTTGTGCCCTCCTGGGCATTTCCTTAGGCCTGAGACTGCTATCTATGGTCTGCCTATGGAAGCCACTCCCTGGGTATGGGCCCTCAGACAACTGAACAAATCAGAAAGTGGTTTTTGATGTTTAGGAGAGGCAAAGGTGACTCTGCCACGATTGAGTAGCAGAGGTTATGTTTGGTCATTTATTGTATTTGTATTTCCATTATTCTATTTGTTTGCTTCTCTGTGATGCATCAGTTATTTTATTTTAGATACTTGGCTTCCCTGACATGAACCCAACATTTCTGACACTGTGCAAGTACTTACTTAAAATTAAATATTATCTCTCTTCTGTAAGAAAATAAATACACATGTATTTTCACCGGATGGTGGATCCCTGGAGCTTGGGGATCAGAGCTGGGCCACAGTCAAGTGATGCTGAGGCCTGAGAACAAAGGGTTCAGATTTCTGGTTTATACTTAGCAAAGGGTGACCACATTTACCTTGCTGCTGCTTGCAATTTAGAACACCTATTCCCTTTACCTTGTGTAACAGGAAGAAAATGAACACTTTGCATTCTATAGTGGATTTGTGGAAAGGTTTCTAATCCCACAGTGCTGGACTGTTAAAATGCCATGGCGTATGAATGATCTCACATCACTAATACAAAATGAAAAGCCCCGCGAGCAATTGCTTTTCCTAATTCTGTTTGATTTTCTGAGAGCAGATACCGTTATTCAAAGCACATAGGAGATCATGCACTTGAGCATTTAAATTTGGGATTGAGTTTCCTGTAGGCCTGAGCTTGAAAAAAGGCTTCGAGAAAATTAGCATGTTCCTTGCAACAGATTTAATAACCTCTGAAGGTTTGTGAACCTTTCTGTCCATCATGGAGCTCGGTTGTTTTAGTGCAGTATAAGAGAATTAAATTTGATTATGTAGATTTTTAGTCTACTGACAAAGTATCTAAATACTGTAATAGGCATAAATGCCATGAGTCATGTGATACGAGATTATTTGTAAAGTTTCTTTTGTTAAGGTTTTTAAAAAAATTTATACTATTTGTCTGAAAATGGAAATAAGCAGTGCCCGCTTGCCCTCCCTCATGTCCCCAGTGTCTTAGCAGCTTGCTGTGGAAAGTTAAAATGCAATTTGTGTGCAGTCTTGAAAAGGAAGTTCCTTCTTACCAAGCCTCCTCTCTGCAGTACGGAGGGTGAACCCAGAGCCTTTGCCTCAAGCCACATCCCTAGCCCCACCTCCCCTTTTTTTGGGGGGGGTACTGGACATTGAACTCAGGACCTTGCACTTGTGAGGCAGGTGTGGTGCCACTGAACTAAATCCCCAGCCCTTTTCTATTTTTTATTTAGAGACAGAGTCTCACAAAGATGCTAAGTTGTCCAGGCTGGGCTCCAACTTGCAGTCCTCTTGCCTCAGTCTCCCAGAGTGCTGGGATTACACATGTGTACCATCATTCCTAGCCTTCTCTTTCTTAAACATCATTCATTTTTCATTTGGGTTTCATTCTTGTTTCTATGGTAACAGAGTATTATGGCCTGTGATGTCTCTTGGAATTGGAAGGACAGTTGAACATTTTTGGTGTTTCTTTTCTTTCTTGTTCTTGGTACATGTGTCCATGATTCCATATGAAATCAGCATTCTAGCAGGTAAGTAGGATCTTCAGGGGGCGAGAGAGGCCAGAGGGGACTGTGATTGGGTCATTATGCTTTGTCATCGAGCTATGATCCCTCATAGGCCAAGGTTATGATTTCTTTGGGCATTTTGACCTCATCTTTACCTGATATGGGGAATAATCTGCAGTGCCGGGACTTCCCCGAATGATTGCTCTGAATTGCTACTGAAAATTCCATCTTCGTGCTTTTAATGTATTTTTGAACTTGTCACTAATTCATCATCTGACAAGTGTTCCCTGAGCACCTGCCTTGTGCCAAGTATGTTCTAGATAAAACAGTGGGAAATGAATCGTGGACCAGTAGTCATTATCCTACTACAGAGCCGTTGAGTGTCTTAGTTACTTTTTCTTATTCATGAGACAAAATATCTGACACTCCAAGTTAAGGCGGGAAGGTTTATTTGTCTCACAGTTTGTTAGAGGTTTCAGTCCATAGTTGGCTGGCTCCAAGGCAGGGTGTCATGACAGAGGAGCATCGCAGAGGAAAACAGTTCATGGAAGGCAGAAGACAGCAAAAGTAAGCAAGTGACAAGACAACCTTCTTTCTGCCCCTTATATTGTATCCAGGCTGCTGGTATTAGGGTGGTGCCAAATCACGAAGTGGACTGATTTAGTAATCACACACTCTAAATCCCAGCATCATGCAGTTTCGATCCAGCCACTTCTGAAAAAGCCCCCACCTATGACCTCATGAAGCCTGGGGGGACATCAAGACACAAGCCATAACTGGGTTAGAAGGAAAGAGGAGAGTCATTACAGAACAGCACAAATAAGTAATCACAAACCATGGGAAGAAAAGCTCTGAGAAGAAAAGCTCTGTGTATACTCAGTGTCCGGGGCAGGGTTTTATGGTTTAGAGCTGGATGTCCTCACAAAGCCTCATGCAGTCAATAAGAGGTGGAGCTTGTGGAAGATGATTGGATTATTGGGGTGCTACAGCTGGCTTGGAGTTAGGAGGTGGGGTCAGTGTGACTGAAGGGATTTATCTCCCTCCCTGGCTCCCCCTTTTCCTCTCTCAGCTTCCTGCCTGCCATGCTTCTCTGCCATTCTATTTCTTCTTTGGAGCTGGCCCAGTGCGGACTGAAACATGAGCCAAAATGAACTATTGTGTCTCAGTGGCTCACAGGGACAACTGTTTTAGAATGGTAGGGCTCAGGGATGGCTGCTCTGGAAGTGTCCTTTAGTCCGAGATCTGAGAAGTGAGGTAGCATTGGCTAGGTTGAGAGTTGGGCACAAGAAGTTTGGACTAGACGGATCCAGCCTGTGAGAATATCCCAGGCCATGATGAATGAAGACTGGGGTTCCTGGAGAAAGCAAAGGAACAGATGCTGCTGGTGGCTTCTGTTAGATTTCTCTTGCCTTAAGATAGTTCTAACTAGTGATGACACAAGCCCCTCCTAGTGATGTCACAAGCCCCCCCCAATCCTTAGCCACTGCATCACTCTACCCCACCCTGCTCCTATAAAGGAAGCTCCCTGTTCTGCCATGTTGCTTTTCTCTCCTTTGTTTGGAGACAGCCTGGCAGACCCTCCCCGTAAGAAAGTCTTGTTATGGTCCTGGTCTGGTCCTGGTTTTCGGCTTTTTTTTACCTAACAGCTTCTCCCTCTCTGTCCTCTGGCATTCTGCCTTCCAGGGAATGCTGTGTCTGCCTTAGAGCGTGCATTTGTACTCTCCACCTGCGGGTCCTTGAGCATGTTCATCCATGCCATAACTATCCTGCCCTGGCCCTGCAGAGCTCCACCTGAGTGCAGTGGTAACCTGCTTCTGCACAGGTCGTGCACTGGTTTCTTTCTCCTCATCATATTGCACCAGGTTTCCACTCTCCAGCATTTCCTGGGCTCATCTCGCAAATAAACAGCTTGTCCTTGAATCTTTACCTCCTGGTCCAGGCCTTGGGTGGCCTGAGGTCATCTGGTGAGGGAGGAGTCTGAAAGGCCAGCAGAATCAGAGCACAGGAAGGCTGGAGTTCTCAAAGGAAGCTCTGTGGATCCCCAGTGTCACTAGAGACCTTTTCAGGGAGAGTAAGTCAAATTGATTTTCATGTTAGCACTAAGATTGTATTCACTGTTTTTCATCACTGCAACATTTCACTATTAAATGCAAAGAAATGGTAGATAAAAACAATGGGGCTTTAGCATGAAGAGAAGCTAGACTAGGAATCCTTGCAGTCTTCACTACTGATATTTGCAGAGAAAAATGCCAAGTTCACTTAAAAATATCCTTGAGTTATAAAATGATTGCTTTTTATTAAATCTCTTATTGGAATACTCTGAAAACTCTAAAATTTCTGCAAATGGGATGGTTGGTAAGTATACCTAAGGTGCTCTGTTGTGTACAAAACTTAGCAGTTATCTCAAGGAAATGTACTTTAGTTGGGAGCTAAACCTCTTTCTCTCTCTCTCTTTTTTTTTTTGGTACTGGGAATTGAACTCAGGAACTTGCACGTGTGAGGCAGGTGGCTAAATCCCTAGTCCTTAAACTTCTTTCTTCATGGAATTTTACTTAAGAGAATGACTGGCAAGGAATCAAACAATGATTCTTCAGACTTAAATACCTGGGAGGCATTTTCTCAAAAATGAACAGAGGGAGCGTGTCTCTCCAAGAAATACATTATTTGCTGTCAATAATAAAACTTGAGTTTCTAAATGAAAACTAAAATTCTGGAAAACTTGTATCTGTTCTGGTTATTTTGATAGTTTCCTAGCAATTAGAGACTTCCGAGGAGGTGGGTGATGATATTAACAAATGTGATTTGGGATAAAGTATAAATACAGTGAGACAACATTTGGAAGATCTGCCTAGCTCAGTGAGATGATATTTTTCAAATGACCAATGCATGTAATCATGTACGCAAAGAAGACTCTTCAAAGAAGAAGAAAATCCAATGAACCTTAGAGTAATTGAGTTGGGAAAAGTTACTGATACAGCTTCAGATTTCACATTACAACTAATCTTTAAGAAATGACCATCTGCTGAGATTTGGTATTAAATTGAAAAAGAATGTCAACAGTAAATATTCCTTCCTTTTCCAAATGCTTGCAAGGCCAAGTTTTCTTCAGATTTATCTACAAAACAACATAGCAGATTCAAGGCAGACTAAAAATCCTCTTGTCTTCTATTAAGTCAGACACTAAAGTGTTTTGCACAAATGTGCAACAAAACCACTTTTTCACTAACAACTTTTGAAAAATGGGTCCCATGACTATGTTATTTACATTAATTTGTTACTTGTGTCAGTTACATTTACATAATGGTTTTATTATTGTTTAAACAAAACAAAAAAGTGTCGTATTACTATTTTTTAAAAGGTCATAATTAAAACACAAAGTTTTCAGTTCAGTTTTCTAATAAGGTAGATGTCAATAGGTAGAGCCCATACACAAACATCCTTTGAGAGCCTCTATATCTTTTATAAATGTCAATAAGTTCTTTCCCTTTTTTTTTTAAAGTGCTGGAGAAGGAACCACGGGCCTTACTCACACTAGGCACATCTACCAGTCAGCTATGCCCATGCTAATAAGTCCTGTGATTTAGAAGTTTGAGAACTGCTGATGTAAAAACCTGGAAGATTGCAAGGTTTTAGGTATCCTCTCCCTTGCAGTGAGGAGTCACTGAAGGGCTTTAATCAGGTGAGCTCTGAGGCAGATCTTGAAAATCATTAACCTTGCGTGTGTGTGTGTGTGTGTGTGTGTGTGTGTGTGTGTGTATGAGACTAAAATATGTTAACAGCTTCTGCAGCTCGGGAAGGCGAAGGGACCCTAATGGGGCATTTCCAATCTGTTCCAAATCTCTGCTAGAGAGGAGCACTGACCTATTCTCTCCAGCAGATGCACGGGGGTTGAGCTCATGATAAGGGAGGTTTCCTTTCTTGCTCTTTAATTAACTGCATTCAAGTCATCTGAGCCATCACAAAAGCATTGTTAGTTATGAGCCACTTAACAAATACCCACAGGGGACATTGCAGTGTTGGAGTTGATGGAAGGCACCTGAAAAAGATTGAAGTTCTTACCCTTGAACAATCTGGGCTCTCAGGGGGAGGACCGGATCTGCTTTGTCAGGTGAGTGATTACCTGGCTACCCTCCTCTGATTTGCTTTGACCCTAAGATGCTGTGAGTTGCATTTGCCCCTATTTCTCCTGATTTTACACTGCTCTGGAGGATGGAGTCCAATTGTGCCAAAGGGGAGAGAGAAGATTTGAAGGGGAGAGTGGGGGAGGAAAGAGAGGAGAAAAAGGAGCCAGGCACTGTAGCTGAAATGTCATTTTCAGTACATCAAGAGTCCATTGTTGAAGTTCCTAAACTTGCCCACTGCAGTGAGTCTGGGGTTCCCTGTGTGTCTAGCAGATAGCATTTCATGGGCTGAGGAGGGGATGTTAGCTTTGTCTCACTAAGCAGAGGCCAGCCCGCTGCACTTCCTCCAGGAAGGAAAGGGACAACAGAGGAAACTGTTGCACTTTGGGCACTGTGCTGCTGAAGTGAGTGCTGGATTCCAGAGTGACTGGGTAACAAAGAATATGCACGCCAGTGGGAGACCACTGCGCACAGAGCTGAGCTTCTCTTAACTTGGGTAGAGCCCTCTGGCCTGTGCAGATTGCCTCTGAGTGTCTCTTGCTCTGGAGGCTTTGCACCTGCAAGGGATGCTCAGGCTGATCTCTCAGGGAGCCCCATGCCTTTCATTATGGTGCTTCCAAAGCCTTTCAGCAGTAAGGAACAGGTTGATTCCTTTTAAATGTGGGTGGTGGATTGGGAAGCAGGCAACTGTGTGGGCTTGTTCTCTGAGAAGATGTGGAGAAGGTGCGTGCAAGGCAGGGCTCCCTCCTCCTCCGGAGCTGCTGTCTTGCCGGGTGTGGGTGTCCTGGAGGAAGTTTCTGCCTGGAGCACAGAACTCCAGGAAGTCACCCCTCTCCTAGGATCTGCTGTGAACTCTGCCAGCCACACAGCCATTTCCTTTCTGTCTTCCAGGAGCAGAGCTGCACTTTTGGCACGAACTTACAAAACTAGCACCAGAATGGAAATATGAAGCCTCCAGTGTATTTTTCCAAAATCCGTTTTCCCCCCTGTGATTCCCTTGAAAAAGAGGGGAAAAAAATCCCTGAAGAGAGATTTCTGGTTTGACTTCGCTCCTTCATCTCCTTTCCAGGCTTCCTAACATGAGAAGTCTGCATTAGCTTCAGTTATGTTTACAAGACTGGAAATTTTAACGAACTGGGTTGATCTGTGACTTTGCTTTGTGATGCTTTGTAAACTATTGAGATGAGTTTTCCCAAGATGGAACAGTGTTCCTTTGGCTGAAATCCTTTAACGTGTGGATTTAAGGGGCTGTAAACCAGAATAATGGTTCCTTCTCCTTTCTTTTTTGGGACGTCTGATCGTCCATCTGCAGAGGTGTTCAAAGCTATTTCCTTCTCTCTTTTCTCAGCAGTGCAGACTCGCTGCAAGTCTTCTTCACCTACACTGTAGATTTCTGGGGCATCCTAACTGGCCCAGTCTCCTAGGTGGCTCCTGCCCTTTCATCCTCCCTACTAGGACTAGTTGCTCTGCCCCTGCAGCCTTCCTCCTCAGGTTGTGGGGCCTCCTGTTGCCTGAAGGGTAAAGGCTGGACTCCTGAACATGGTGTTGGTGTGACAGGGGACCTAGAGGTTAAACCTACAGGTGTCCAATGGGAAACTGAAGGTGGGATGGAGCTTGGCATCTCTACCTTCATTTTTGAAACATTAATTTAAACCTTTTTATTAGTACACGTTTGCAGCGTGTAATGATTACTTTCATTGTGGAGGATTGGGACATGTACATAACACATTTTCTTTTTACTCTGCCTTCCTTTTTTGTATACATCTCCTAATTACCTTAGAACCATGGGTCAGGCCCCTGCAGCGTCTGTACACAAGATTATTAGCTCCAAACATATCTAGGCTATCTCATCCCCCTCGGAGCCTGAGGACACCAAGATAACAGTAACTGAGTTTGGAGTTTGCTGGGAACTCAAGTGCCAGCTTTTACAGTGTCCACGAATATGGCTAGAAGCTTCCAGTCTCTGTCCTAGATCTTCAGTCACCGTGGATTCCAGGAAAAGCAAGCCCCATGTATCACACCTCAATGGGAACCCAGGCCACCCCCACCCCAAGACAGAGCTGCCATCTCTGGATGGGAACTGAATTACTCCCTGGAGCAATGGAGGCTTTCCCAGGACCTCGCAGAACTGGTCCTGAGAACCAATCAACCTGACCACTACATGCCCAGCACTACCTACGGCCTGCATCCTAGCAGCTAGCGAACCTCCGGCCCTGGCCTCTGCTCCCCTTTGCTATTAAATCCCACAGCCTCTGCCAGCCCCTGAAAATGGATCTTCAACCTTTGTCTGTCCTAGTGATATACCGGGAAGAGATGCGACTCCCAAACCTGCTAAATAGCTGAAATGGGAGTTCATGTTCTCTAAAATCAAAGAATGAATTCTAAAAACAACAGAGGTTAAGAGTAGGAAAAATTTATTGAGGGAAAGAAAGTATCTAAAAGAGACAGAAGGGGGACTAGAAAGTGGGCTGCCCACCCACCCCACTTCTGCAAGGCGTTTTATACAGCCAAGCTATGTGGTGAGGTGGGTACAAAGTGGGACAGAACTGTAAGACCCAATGGAAAATTACAAGGTGGGCATGAGGTGGGGCAAAACCATGACCAACCAATAAGATTACAAGTACAGTCACTCAGGTAATATTGATTAAGTGGGGGTCAAATGGGGGAGCAAGTCAGGTAGATAGAGAACAAGGATTTTCATTAAGGGTGGGAGTCGGGGTTATTTCCTGGGAAGGCTGGGTTAAGACCTTTGCCCCCCAGGTGAGTCATACCTATTTAGAATATCGATCACTGATATTTATCCCAGTGGGAAGCACAAGGGTGTGGTAGTTTCTCTCTTTTTACAATTCTGGCCTTCAGTGAATGTGTCTTGATTGTCCTCCATGTTGGCTCCTTCCTGTGTTGGCTCCTTGAGGGCAGCCCTGTCTGACTGCCTACAAGATACCTAATTAAATTACCTATCTGCAATACTAGCAGTGCCATGCTGAGGAAAGCTCCTTCCCTGCCCTCCACCACAGTTCATCTTCTTGATTGGCATTATGGGATTGGCAGCTGAGCTTGGTCTGTTAGGGCTTTTGTCCTTAAATTCTGGCAACAATTCACAGAGACTAGATGCTCGCTGCATATTCACGTGATTTTCTACATCTGCCCTCCTTCCTTGGAGTTAGTGGGATCAGGTACCAGTCTTGGGTCAATGGGAGATGGGGAAGAGGGAAAGAAGCCATGGCCAGGCCTTTCCTTAAAAGCATCTACAGTAGCCTTGGCTGTCTCCTGTCCTGTTATGGTGAGCTTGCAGGCTACAGACTTGTTATAGGTTGAATTGTGACCCACAAAAGCTAGGTTGAAACCCTAACCCCCTCCTGTCTGTGAATGTGACCTTGTTTGGAAACAGGGTCTTGGCAGATGCGATGGACTTATGATGAGGTCATTACAGTGGCTCCTAATCTAGTAAGGCTGAGGGACACATTCAGACAGAGGGATGGCCATGTGAAGAGGAGTCAAAGATGGGAGTGATGTGGCCATGGGCACAGGACACCAGGAAGATCCTTCTGTAGAGGTCATGCGGGGGCTGGCTACTTGCCGTGTCAAGTGTCTCATGAGTGAGAAGCAAACCTCCTGTGGTCACCTAGCTCTGCGCCTTTGTTTGTTTTAACAGAGGGGAGATGTGAAGTCCCTTAAGGTTGGGGTTTTCACTTAACTCAAAGGGGTGCAGTGCTGAGTCTAAACCCAAGGCTGCAGACCAGAGAACAGTGCTTCGTCCACCCTGGATCCCTTTACTTGACAGTGGCCACGGTCACTGGGAAAGTGCTGCGGGGAGTAACCCATAAATTTTCAGTTTTCACCCTCTGGCAGGCTGATGTTAATGTGTGGAAGGAAAAGGAAAGCAGACCCACTCCTGGGAAAGAGTTACTGGATTAGAACATCACCCCCCATACACCCCCCCAGAAGGATCATGCAAGCAGTATGGAATTCAAAGTTATCTAGTACTGAATCAGTGCAGTTTTGTTACTATTATGAAATACCAGAGGCTGTGTGCTTCATAAATTAAAGAGATTTATTTTGGCTTGTGGTTCTGGCAGGGCCATGTCTGGTAACTCTCTTGCCGGCAGAGCCCTGAGATGGCTCAGGACATCACATAGCAAGGACAGGCAGCTTGAGCGTGTTCCTGGGCTCCTCCCTCTGATAAGGATTCATTCATGTTACTTCCACTTAATCTAATTCTACGACCTTATCTAATGACCTTATCTAATTTGAATCATTTCCCAAAGGCCTCACTGTGAATCATAGTCAGACTAAGTTTCCACCATTTAAATATGCATTTGGAAATTAAATTCCAACACAAGTTTTTGGGGAGACAAATCATATTCCAATTATAAAGTACAATAATTTTAATAATAAATTTTAATTTTAATATATTATTTGTGTGTGTGTGTGTGTGTGTACTGGGAATGGAACCCAGGGCCTTTGTGCTAAGCTATATCCACAACTTTTTAAATTTTAACTTTGAGATAGGGCCTCATTAAATTATTAATTTTCCTAGGCTAGGCTGGAGCTTACAGTCATTTGGCCTTAGCCACCCTGAGATCTGGGATTACAAGTGTGCACCACCATGCTTGGCTATACAGTGGACCCTTGACTTATGAACTCAATTTATTTGCTGGTTGCAACTCCAGTTGGTCAGTGGAAGACTTGGGCTCCTCTACACAGTCTTCAAAGTCTCCCTCCTATACACAGGCAGATCTTGGTGTCCTTACAGAGACATTGGCCCAGGATTTCTCATTTAACTTCACACAGGAAAGGATGCAGTCGTGTTCCTTCCAGAACTCTTTAAGGGTTGAACTTGTCTCTGAGACTGTCTGGAAGCACAAGCAGCCAGCATTCTGGTCTTTCAAGACTTTGGTCATAAGTTAAAACTAAAATTTCGGTCACAACCTAAGTTGTTTCTATGTCAGGCCAGTTATAACTCGAGGGTCCACTGTAATATTAACTTTAACAAATCTAATTTATTTAAGCCAGTTGACTCAAATACAATTTAAGTGTTGAATTATTGTCATCATTATTATTTTCAGTGGTGGGGAGAGAATCCAGGATCTTGTACAGGATGAGCACACACTCTACCAGTGAGCTGTACCTCTAGACTCAGAATAAACACCATCAACAAATTATTTTGCGTTATTTTTCATACTAAGTTTTTGTGGTAGGTAATATCTATTACACATTCAGCACAACTGGGTTTGCCACGTATTAGGCACTCAGCAGTCACGTGGGGTTCCTGGCCACTGTCTCATTGTCCAGTTCCCAAGGACTCTGTCCTGAGCATCTGTGTCCAGTGTCCGATCAGTGCATTGGTGTGTGGGGCAGGTGTGCTGGGAGATTCTGAGAAACCACCAGATTCCTCCTAACTTATAAATAAGGGGAGCAGATAATGTGTTATGTAAGCCAAGACATGGCTGCAGGTCGAAGGACTGATCTTAGTAATTGTGCAGAGGACAGGCATGGCCCAGCAGACCAGGGCAAGCGGCCACAGGGCTGTAAAGAGGCTTCCCGCAAAGGAGGCATTCGCTGCGGCCCTGGAGGCTACTATCGTGGGAGCCGCTGGGGAGCCATGGGGCCAGCGGGTGGAGAGAGACGGAAGACACCCGGCAAAAGCACGGACAAGGTTTCTAGTTGCCCTAGGTAGGGCACCTGAGATTGAATCCAGGTTGAACGAGGCACCAGGCAACTGTGCAAGTGCAAAGAGATGGGCTTAAAGGGCCAAATGTGAGATTTACGCAACTTCTCGGAGTCCTGAAGGTGTTTCAGAGACTAATGTGCTGGTGCCTTCCGGGGGCTTGCGAAGCAGCCTGAACTGTCTGTAGTCTCAGTCTGAACTCGTCTGTAGCCAAGAACTACATGTTGCAAAGAAGCAAGATAAATTAGTAAATGTCGGAGTCCCTTCGGACTCCAGGTCCCCAGGTAATATAAAACTATTGGCTGCAAAAACGATCTCAAATATAATGAGCTAGTTTGAGCCAGGTAAATTT